TAAATACATACATACATACATACATACATACATACATACATACATACATACATACATACATACATACATACATACATACATACATACATACATACATACATACATACATTTCAAATTGGTGGAACTGAAGCAAGGGGGATTTAAAAAATAGATGGAAAACCATGAAGCAGTAGTGGCATGGGGACACGGGAGTAGACACCTGTGGAACCACAGAAGATCAGATTCAGTCTTCAGAAGAGCAGGATTGGCCTCTGGGACATGAAGTCTCCCCCACCTCCCCAGGTTGTAACAACATTAATCCATGCTTAGAGCCCTTACCTGCCCCTGAAGGGCCTGGCCATTAAGAATGAAAGTAAACATTTTCACTTCAAACCGCTTCAGATGCATAGGGAATGGGTCAGAATCCCTGGGGACTTGGTGGAAAGTGGTCTGATGCGAGTCCTCCATGTTCTCACAGCTTGAGAAGGGGAAAAGAGCACAACAGAGAAGCTATGAAGTCTAGCCCCATACCTGGTTGACATAACCAGGAGAAGACTCTATACCACACCTGAGAATGTAATACTGAATTACATGCTCATTCAACCCTGAACTCTACTTAAAAAAAAAAAAGCTGACTACTGTGGCCCCCCCCCCCATGATGATAATCAACATACACTGAGAATGTTGAAGAGCAGGGATGGACAAAGTGTGGCTTTCCAGATGATGGATTGCATCTCCCATCATCCATCAGCACTGGTTGTTCTGGCTAATGACTGATAGGAGTTGTAGTCCAGCACCATCTAAAACAGTGGTCCACAACCTTGGGCCTCCAGATGTTCTTGGACTTCAACTCCCAGAAATCCTGGCCAGCAGAGGATCTACAGAGGATAGCCGAAAGGTCTTTCCTGGATTTTCAGGTTTCACTAAGGATTTGCTCATACACTCACAGTGTCTTGATTTCTGCTGCATTCCACCCCTGTAATTCTGCCTTCTACATTTACAGAAACTTGTTCTGCTCTACATTTAAGCGAGACAGACCACACTGTTCTACGTATTGTGGCTCCCATCAAAATACCCTCTACTGCTACTTCATTCACAGCACTCTTGGTTTATTCTGGGTTGCAAACATCCCACCCCCATGGTGAGCCCAAAATACTTTGCTGCCTGGAAAGAAAAGACAAGATGGCGCCAGCTTTACTTTCATGTACAGACACTGACTGGGCAGCAGGAGCAGAGGAGAGGCTGACTGGCTCAAACAGCTCTATCCGCCCCTACATCACACCACCACACACCAAAACCCCAGTATGTGGTTGTCTGAGGTGGCTGCCTCATTCTGCCCAATGGTACAGGTGGCATGGAAGAACGGGTCACAGGGAGCACTACCTGTCAACCACTATGTTCCATTGTGGAGAACTGTTCCTGTCAGATGATGCCGTGGCCCAGCAATCCTCCAGGAATAGTTCCAGCTGTGGGTCCTGGCTATGGAGAAGCTCTACCTGGAAGTAGAGAGGTTCTCTAAGGTAGCGAGTCACCGGGTACTCTGCGTCCTGGTAAAAGTCCC